GAGGTAACAGACACTAGGTGACTAGCTGACTCCGTGAAGTGTCCGTTACCTGTTTCCCTCTATGTCTCTCTGAATGCGTACAAGCTGTCCTTCAGGTCCAATACATCATAATGCGGGTGCGTTGTGTTCTAGAGATGTGGTATATCTGACTAGATTTCTAACAGTCTGTGCTTTTTTGTATTGGGGTATTGGACCTGAAAGATAGCTTGTATACTTTTGCAATGAACCCAGATCGTGAAGACAGTTGTCAACAATGCAAGTCCAGATGAGTGTCAACCAGCTGATGATTATCAATCATCATATTCGTGTCCAGATACCCAAGAGAAGAGAAGACATACACAGATGAGGTAGACGAGAGGGAGAAAAGACTTAGATTGGGGAAGATATACACTTAGTGTCAGAAGTAACCTCAATGTGCCACGTGGCACGTCTAATCAGTCCCTCATCAGCGCTGGAGCAATGTCGACATGAAGACAACCAGGTAAGTATCCACGATCCGTCCACAGTCCTGATCTCCTCCTGAATGACGAAATCAGAACAGCAGTACCGGTCATGTAGTCCGGCCACGTCAGCCAATAGAACACGTGGCAGCAGCCACGTCAGCAGCAACGCGTGGCAGCTGCCACGTCAGCATGCCTTGAAGACATTAGCTAGCCAGCCACCTTGCCGAGCCAGCAGCGCGTCGCCGTGATCTCTCAAATGCCAGCACAAAGCCAGTGTCCACCAGCGTCGCAGCGTGGAGCCAGCGTCACGTCGTCAACGCGTGAAGTCAGCATTGACGCAAGACTGAATGAATGTCAAAGCCAGGAAAGTCAGCGCTTATGTAGCGTTGACTCGGGGTCTGGGCCCCGGATGCTACAATCCTCAGCTGTCCAGATCTCGATGCAAACTAAGGCCCAGATTGGTCTGAAACCGAATTCCCTCCTGCCTGGATGCTTGTCTGGGTACCTGCGCACAACAGGTGAGTGTATCCAACCAAGGGCCTGGGTGCGGTACGTTTGACTCTACAGTTGACTTTGACCTTTGAATTTCCTGTGTGCAGCGTTCGGTCACACAGCCAAACGTGACAGACACAGGCCTGGGCGTGTCTTGGTCACACAGCCCAGCGCAGACCAACTCAGGTCTACGTTGCCTGGGGCTGAGTTAGGGAAGGATGTACCACCCCTCACCCCTGCCTAAGTTAGCCTATATCCTCTACCTTCTGATCCTCTAAGTCGCCTGGTTCCTAGCTCCTTGTAGCCGAGTGCTGTCAGATAAACCTGAATGCTAGAGCTAATGTCCAGGGCTGGTATCTAAAGGGTTTGCTTGCTCGGCCGGGTAATATAAAAACTTATCTGAACTACGGTTTCTACCTTTTGCCTTCTCTTAAACCCTAAACCCTAAGCTTCTCGGGACGTTTGTTGTACGCAGTTTCTTTCTTGAGTGTTTCTCTTGGAGGGTGCTATTCCTAGTCTTTCATTGCTTTTCCTGTTCCTAGGTTTTAAAAATGTAAAATAGGTGCCGTTCCTAAGCTCGAAAACCCTAAACCCTGAATCCTCTTCCTCTCTCTAGCTTGGGGTGTGAGCCCTTCCTTTCTCTCCGATGACTGTTTTTACTACTACTTTCACTCGCGGTTAACGACCACCTGAAATTTCAGAATGAAAGATTCTGAAGTGGTCTGAAACCGCTGAAATGGCCTGAAGACACTTCAGGTCATTTTAGAAGTTTCGGGTGGTTTGCA